TTTACATCTCTGGTAGCATAGTGCCTAAGGCATCTGACTGCTAACCAGAAGCCTGGCAGTTCAAACCCACCAGCCACTTCTTGGAAGGAAGGTTGGGCAATCCACTTCCTTAGTGATACCACCTCAGAAACCCAAGGAGGTGGGGGTCACTATGAGTCGGGTCCAACTCAATGGCACTTAACAACAACAACATTAGAATGTCTAAAATGAAAAAATACTGACAATATCAAGTTCTGGAGAGGGCATGGATAAAATGAAACTTTCATCCACTGCTGGTATGAATTCGAACTGATACAGTCACTCTGGAAAATGGTTTTGCAGTTTCTCATGTTGTTGTTTGTTCTTAGCTGCCATCAAGTCAGCTTCCAATTCACGGCAACACAATTTGTGACAGACTAGAACTGCTCCATAGGGTTTTCTTAGCTGTAATCTTTACAGAAGCAGGTAGCCAGGCCTTTTCTTCCACAGAGCTAACTCATAGTGACCCTTTAGAACAGAGTAGAACTGCTTCATAGAGTTTCTAAGACTGTAAATCTTTACAAAAGCAGACTGCCACATCTTTCCCCCGCAGAGTGGCTGGTGAGTTTGAACCACCAACCTTTTGGTTGGCAGCCAAATAATTTAACTATAATCAAATTAATATTTTTTTAAGTACCAAAAAAGTATCCACCAACTCATTGGTCAGTTTGTCATACAGTCGTGGCTTATGTGTTGCTGTGATGCTGGAGGCTATGTCACCAGTATTTCAAATACCAGCAGAGTCACCTACGGTGGACAGGTTTCAGCAGAGGTTCCAGACTAAGACAGACTGGGAAAAATGACACAGTGATCTACTTTTGAAAAAATTTGCCAGTGAAAACCTTATGGATAGCAGTGGAACACTGATATAGAGCCAGAAGATGAGGCCCTCAGGTTGGAAGGTACTCTCAAAATACCACTAGAGAAGAGTTGCCTCCACAAAGTAGATGTGACTTTAACGATGTAGATGGAGCCAATCTTTGGGATCTTCATTTGCTGATGTATCACGACTCAAAATGAGAAGAAAGAGCTGTAAACATCCTTTAGTAATAAGAACGTGGAGTGTATGAAGTATGAATCTAAGAAAATTAGATGTTGTCAAAAATGAAAAGGAACATTTGAAGATCCATATTTGTAGGCATTAGTGAGCTGAAATGGATGGGTATTGGCCATTTTGAAATGGACAATCAACCATATGATCTGCTATGCTGGGAATGACAAATTGAAGAGGAATGGCATCACATTCATTGTCTAAAAGAACATTTCAAGATCTATTCTGAAATACTGTAGTGTCAGAGAATGGTTAATATCCATATGCCTACATGGAAAACCAGTTAATATGAATATTACTCAAATTTTACACATCAACCACTAATGCCAAAGATGAAGAAATTTAAGACTTTTAGCAACATCTGCAATTTACAATTGATCAAACATGCAATCAAAATACATAGATAATTACTGGTGGTTGGAACGTGAAAGGTGGGAACGAAGAAGAAAGACCAGTAGTTGGAAAATATGGCCTTGGTGACAGAAATGATGCTGGAGATTACATAATAAAATTCTGTAAGACCAATGGCTTATTCATTGCAAATACCTTTTTCAACAACATATAAATGGTGACCATACATGTGGACTTATCCAGATGGAATACACAGAAATCAAACTGACGAAATCTATGGAAAGAGATGATGGAGAAGCTCAATATCATCAGTAAGAACAAGACCAGGGGCCAACTATAGAACAGACTATCAACTGCTCATATGCAAGTTCAGGTTGAAACTGAAGAAAATTAGATCAAGTTCATGACAGCCAAAGTACAATCCTGAGTATATCCCCACCCAAATTTAGAGATCATCTCAAGAATAGACTTGACACATTGAAAACGAATGACTGGAGACTAGATGAGTTGTGGTATAACATCAAGGACATCATACATGAAGAAAGCAAAATGTCACTAAAAAGACAGAAAAGAAAAAAAAAAAAAGGCCAAAATGGAAGTTAGAAGAGACTCTGAAACTTGCTCTTGAACTTAGAGTAGCTCAAGTGAAAGAATAAATAAAGAAGCAAAAGCTGAACAGAAGATTTCAAAGGTGGCTTGAAAGACAAAGTAAAGTATTATAAAGACCTGGAGTTAGAAAAACAAAAGCAAAGAACACTCAGCATTTCTCAAATGACAAGAAATGAAGAAAAAATTCAAGCCTTGAGTTCCAATACTGATGCAATCTATAGGTAAAAAAAAGTTTGAACAATGCAGGAAGTACCAAAAGAAGATGGAAGGATTATAGTCATTGTACCAAAAGGAACTGGACAATGTTCACCCTTTCAGGAGGTAGCATATAATCAAGAACTACTAGCTGTGGAAGGAAGAAGTCCAAGCTGCACTGAAGGCACTGGTGAAAAACAAGGCTCTAGGAACTGACGAAATACCAATTGAGATGTTTCAATAGATGGATGTAATGCTGGACGTGCTCACTCGTCTACACCAAGAGTTTTGGAAGATAGCTACCCGGCCCACAGACTAGAAGAAATCCGTATTTGTGCCCATTCCAAAGAAGAATAATCCGAAAGAATGTGGAAATTATCAAACAATATCATTAATATCACATGTAAGTAGAGTTTTTGCTGAAGACCATTCAAAAATGGTTACAGAAGTACACTGACAGGAATTGCCAGAAATTCAAGCTGGATTCAGGAAAGGATATGGAACAAGAGACATCACTGCTGATGTCAGATGCATCTTGGCTAGAGGCAGAGCATACCAGTAAGATTTTACCTGTGCTTTACTGGCCACAAAAAGCATTCAAGTATAAGGATCATAACAAATAAAGAATAATAGGAATAACAGGAATTCCAGAACACTTAATTGTGCTCATGTAGAACCTGTACAGAGACCAAGAGGCAGTTGTTTGAACAAAACAAGGGAATATTGCATGATTTAAAATCAGGAAAGGTGTATGTTAGGGTAGTATCCTTTCATTATACTTACTCAGTCTGTATGTTGAGCAAATAATCCAAAACGCTAGATTATGAAGAAGAACTAGCATCAGGACTGGAGGAAGATTCGTTAACAACCTGCGATATGCAGATGACACAATCTTACTTGCTGAAAGTGAAGAAGACTTGAAGCACTAGATGAAGATCAAAGACTACAGCCATCAGTATAGATTACACCTCAACATAAAGAAAAAAAAATCCTCACAACTGGACAAATAAGCAACAATATCATGCTAAATGAGGAAAAGATTGAAGTAGTCAAGAATTTCACTTTGACTGGATCCACAATTAACGCCAATGGAAGCAGCAGGCAAGAAATCAAACGACATATCACATTAGGCAAATTTGCTGCAAAAGACCTCTTTAAAGTGTTAAAAAGCAAAGACGTCACCTTAAGGACTAAGGTGCATGTGACCCAAGCTATAATATTTTCAGTTATCTCATATGCATGTGAAAGGAACTGAAGAAGAGCTGATGCCTCTGAATTATGGAATCGGTGTAGAATACTGAATATACTATGGAAGTACAGAAGAACAAGCAACAAGCAAGTCTGTCTTGGAAGAAGTACAGCCAGAATGCTCCTTAGAAGCAAGGGTGGCAAGACTTTATCTCAGGTACTCTGGACATGTTATCAGAGGACTAGTACCATGAAGGACATCATGCTTGGTAAAGCAGAGGGTCAGTGCAAAAGAGGAAGATGCTCAATGAGATGGGTTGACACGGTGGCTGCAACGATGGGCACAAACAGCAATGAAGGTGAGGATGGCGCAGGACCGGGCAAGGTTCCATTCTGTTGTTCAGAGGGTCACTGCAATTCAGAATTGACCCGAAAGCACCTAACTACAATAACCATCAAAAAATATACTCCTGGAAAAGAATGACCTCTTGGAGAGAATTGCTCTTATATTCTTACCAATGTGTAAATATATATATATATTTAAAAGAAGAAAGAAAAGAGATCTCCCTATTTTAATTTTCTTAAACATTTCTGTTTAACATTACCATTTGAGGTAATTTAAGATTCCTTCTAGCTTTTCTATTGCCAGCACTAACTAAAACAACTTTTTAGAACTTCTTTTTCCACTAGATGATACATACACATGGCATGTTTTTTCACTCTATTAGTCCATTCAAAAATAATCAAAATATTAAATGAATGAAATTCCTTACCTGCTCTTATTCTTTTTAAGTCAGTGGTAGCAATATTTTGCTTTAATATAACTTATTCAGAGACCTCTATGTAGAATATTTAAACAAGCCTTTAAGAATATTTTCTAATCTTGAGACAAGTGTCTTTCAAACTATGGTTTGCAGATTGGTCCAAAGTGTGAGGGAGAGTTAGACCTGTGCCTGGAAAGGACAGGGAAGAGAAAGAAGAGGGGTAACTGTTTACTCAATGAGACTTTACTGCTGGACACTTGCCAGCAGCAGGTCAGAGAGTACACTGTGGCCCCTCCAGCTTCCCTGAAAAGTGACAGCTGTTCTGAAAGAGGTCACGCTAATACTCTGACCTTCTTCCCAGGTCCTCCATACATCAGTACCTTTCCTATCACGAAAGACCCAAGTTCAAACTCCTGCATGTCTTCCCAACAAAATTAAATGACAGAGCTAGATGCTAAGAGAAAAAGGCGTCAGAGGAAAACATCTCAGGACTGCATAGGGTCTTTGGGCGAATCTATAAAAAATGAAAAATGATAATGGATGTCAAACATGAAGTGACAGTGGTCCATCTCTTGCTTATTTTTAGAACTCTTCTCTTTCTTTGACTAAATCTATGAGAATCATTTTCACATGCACATATAAATAGAAACACAGAGAGAAAAGGCACCTGAGTGGTACAAACAGTCAATGTGCTCAGCTGCTAACTGAAAAGTTGGAGGCTCAAGGTGACCCAGAGGCATGTCAGAAGAAAGGCCTGGTCACCTACTTCTGAAAAGAAATCAGCCACTGCAAACCCACGGAGCACAGTTCTGAACACAGGGGGTTGCCAGGAGTCAGAAATCAACTATGCATACATACACATAAATACAGACATACATACATACAGTCTTTTCTATTAAGGTTTTAATAATCATTTTAATACTTACTATATTTTATGAGCTCTTAATGTATGATACAGTCAAAAGTAAACAGACTTCTACATACACCTTCCCCATTTCACAAGAGAGCAAGACTATTAGTTTAAATCACACAAGCTACTAAGGAGGCCTGAGAAAATGTCTACTGTACCTTCTCCTCCTGTGATTGCTGCTCCTTCTCAATGGTCTTCCTGAGGTTCAATTCAAGATTATCCTTCTCTCTGCACACTGCCAGGTAGCATTCCTGCACAGCAGCCATCTCCTTATTCATCTTATCTAAGTCAGACCTGATAGACAAAACCAGAAACTCAATAACCCCCAAAAAATACAAGGGCTACATAATGAACAGTTTTCCTCTATGTGACAACAGGAAAATGTAGTCCCTATATTTAAAGGGAAGGCAGCTGATCTCTTTTTACTCACCTAAGTTGCAAGCGAGTTCCCTCGTAAACCTCAAAGAGCTGCTGCTTCTCCAAAGCATGCTTTGCTAACAGGCTCTCCCGTATCTGGGTTTTCATGGCTTCATGGTGCTGCTGGTAAGTCCTCTCACACCTAAAAACAGAAAGCAGAATTGAGGCAATGCCCATCATTAACAGAAATGCCAAGATGAATAGGTTTTCCTTCCTTCCTTTTTCCCTCCCTCCCTCCTTCCCTTTCTTCCTTCCTACCCCTCTCATACAAAATAATTAAAATCAGATTGTTTTTTCCCAACCAAAGGCTAATAATTAATTTACAACAGATAGTTTCATGAGGAGCTCTGGTGGTCTGGTGGTTAGACCAAAAGGTCAGGAGTTTGAACCCACTAGCTGTTCCACATAAGAAAGACGTGGCAGTTTGCTTCCATGAAAATTTACAACTTAAGGTCACTGTGAGTTAAAATCGACTTGATGGCAGTGGGTATTTTTAAGTCTTATGATAATTTTCAAAAATTTCCTTCAAATCTTTCTAGAGAATAACTGGAAACCTGGATGGAGCATGCCCCAGTTCTTCAAACAGAAATAATGGTCTGTGTTGAGAACTTCTGTTTATAAAAAATTAGTTGAAATAATCAAGGATGTGGTTCCAAAATTCCAAGTCCTCCATGCTAAATATTAACAGTATCCTACTCACAAGTAAGTTATGTTCCAAAGGTCTGTATCCAAGTTTATGATTTGGTACTTGGAAGACATTGTCCTACCCACAGATATCTTCTTTTAAACAATAGTTCAATTCCCAGACCAGCCTTAAAAAAAAAAAAAAAAAGAAAAGAAAAACCAAGCTACACTATTTCTGTGAACTATACTTTTAGTGATACTATAGAACCCAATCTACTACACAACACTGTTTCTATGGAAAATGTGTTCCAAATTCTAATTTAAGCCAAAGATTCATGTTCTCCAATCCAAGGTCTCAGTAGGGAGAGTTTACTATATCATTTCTCTTGAATCTTCCCATTGAGTGAGGAGAGGGAACGGAAGCAGGGAGGCAGGGATTAGGTCTCTATAGAAATCTTACCTCTCCATAGCTTCTTGTTTATCACGGTCAAAATCTTGCATCATTTGTCTCATTTGATTACATAAGTCTTGATTTATATTTCTCAGTTTTCCTTCAGTTTCTTTAAGCTCCTAGGTACAAAAGAATAAAGTATTTAGAGGAAATAAACATCATTTTCATTGATTAATGTAATTTTTTTTACATTCTCTGCCATATAACATTAGTTGGCATATCATTATCATAATTCTACAAAAGAAAAAACTTCTCTCATGCCTTTCTCTGACAATTAGCTTTCTGACAGTAACAGTTAAAATTGTGTATTTATTTTGAAATACATGGAATGAAAACATTTAAGCATGGAAGCATTGGCTAACTAAAGCCTTTAGGTCTTGGAATTTAATGTCTCCATAATAATCTAAATAAGGAAGGCTTTACCTTTGGATCAAAGTATGGCTAAGGAGGGAAGAACCCCTCTATCAGTCATGCTTCTACGTAATCAGGAAATTAGAATCACACTAACTTACCTTCTGATAAAACTATTGCCCAATGACTTCCAGTAAAGGGAAATAACTGGCACCCATCATTACCTACAAATAACTCGTTACTAACTCCCATTGCCCCTTTGTCTTCAAAAGTCTATTATATACTTTATATGTCTCAGAGCCACAAAAGTTCTCATAAAATATGGGGAAAAAAAATCATCACCTGGTTTTCTTGTTGTAAAACCTGAATTTCATTTTTAAGTCGCAGAATGTCATCTCTGACCATCATGTCAGAAGTAGAAGAGCTGGGCCATAATTGATTAGTTGGCTTTTCTGAGCCACCTGTTTTAGTCTGAATATTAAAAAGAAGTTAAAACTTACTCAGGATTTTGAAAGTTTTTTGAAGTATTCATTATGAAATAGATTCACATTTACAAAAATAGTACAAATCATTTCCATATATCTTTCACCCATCTTCTCCAAATACAGCCACAATACAATAATCAAAACCAGGAAATTACACTGACACAATACTATTTAATTAACCTATAAACCTTTTACAAATATCTCTGATTTTCCTCTAATATCCTTTGTCTGGCTCAGGATCCAATCCATGATGCCATACTGCATTTAGTTGTCATGTCTCCCTCATCTCCTACTATCTAGGCAGTTCCTGGGTTTTAGGTTTGTTCTTTTTTTGTCTTTCAAACTTACCATATGTTTGAAGAGTACTAGCCAGTTATTTTGTAGGATGTCCTTCAACTTGAGTTTTCTAATGTTACTTCATTACAAAATTCAGGGTATGCATTTTTGGCATAAATGCCACAGAAGTCATGTTGCGTTCTTTCTAGAGCACTGTACCTGGAGGCACAGGATATTGCTCCCTCACTACTGATGATGTTTAACTGTAACCAGTTGGGAAAGGTAGTGTCAGCCAGGTTTCTCCATTACAAAGTTAGAATTCATTCATTCATTAGCAATTAACAAATTTTCTTATGAAGAGATTCTTTGAGGCCATGCAAATATTCCATTTCTCCTAAGTTTAGCATTTGTTCTATTTCCGTATTTATGTATATCAGTATGGACTCATGGATATTTATTTTATTCAATAGACAGAATTTTTAATACTGATATTGTTGTTGGTGGTGGTGTTATGTGCCATCGAATCGTCTCCGACTCATAGCAACCTTATGTACAACACAATGAAACACTGCCCAGTCCTGTGCCAGCTTCATTATGCCTATTATACCTGAGCCCATCGCTGCAGCCACTGTGTCAATCCATCTTGTTGAGGGCCTTCCTGTTTTCTGTTGACCCTCCACTTTACCAAGCATGATGTCATTCTCCAGAGAATGGTCCCTTCTAACAACATGACTAAAGTATGTGAGACAAAGTCTGGCCATTTTTGCTTCCAACGAGCATTCTAGCTGTACTTCTTCCAGGACAGATCTGTTAGTTCTTTTAGCAGTCCACAGTACTTTCAGCATTCTTCACCAACACCACAACTCAAAAGCATCAACTCTTCTTCGGTCTTCCTTATTCATTGTCCAACTCTCACATGCATATGAGGCAACTGAAAATACCATGGTTTGGGTTAGGCGCATCTTAGTCTTCAACCAGGTATCTTTGCTCTTCAGCACTTGAAAGAGATCTTTTGCAACAGATTTGCCCAATGCAAACTGTTGTACAAATTAATACTGTTAAGTAGTGTATAAGTCTGTCCATTTCTCTTTATATCCAGTAACAGTGGCTATCTTTAAAGAATTATTATATTTGATGGTGAAATTTAACAATTACTTTCATTTGCCTATCTTTGATTGTTATCAGAGTGAGATTTGTCACAAATCTTCATTTGTTATATCATCTTCTCTGGTTTGTCTCTTTATATAACTTTGGATATTTTCCTCTTGCCATCTAAGTGTTTTCCTTTTCTAATTTTATGAGTTCTTTATTCATTAAGGATCATAAAGATTTTTAAATATACCTATTCTATTGACTTGTTGTTCATTTATGTACATACCTGGGCTCTGAGCTCTCTTCTGTAATGCTTAAAAAATATTTAATTTATTCACTGGGGTATCGTTGTTAGTTTCCATCATGTCAGTTTGGATTCATGTGTGTAGAGCAGAACTGCTCCATAGTGTTTTCAAGACTGTGTCTTGTGGAAGCAGATCACCATGCCTGTCTTCTGAGTCTCTGGGTTCAAACAGCCAACCTTTCAGCTAGTAGTTGAACACTTAACCATGTGTGCAACCTAGGGCCTTCATTCCCTGGGATAGGAGAGGTATATTTATTTGTTGGTATATATATTTGTTGTTATTGTTAGGTGCCACTGAGTCACTCTGGACTCACAGCAACCGTAGATAGAACAGAATAAAACACTGTCCAGTCCTGTGCCATCTCACAATTGTTTCTATGTTTGAGTCCATTATTGTAGCCACGGTCAATCCATCCTGTTAAGGGTCTTCTTTTTTCACTGACCCTCTACTTACTAAGCACAATGACCTTCTCCAGGGACTGGTCTCTCCTGATAACATGTCGAAAGTATTCGAGATGAAGTCTTACCATCCCTGCTTCTAAGGAACATTCTGGCTGTACTTCTTCTAAAACAGATTTATTTTTCTGGCAGTCCACGGTATATTCAATATTCTTCACCAACATTGTAATTCAAACACATCAATTCTTCTTCAGTCTTCCTTATTTATTGTCCAGCTTTTGCATGCATAGAGACTATTAAAAATATGCTTAAATTCAACGATTTAATCTTTCCCCATGCTTCCAACCATGTTTTCAGACTTACAGATTTTTTTTAAAAAAAGCACCATCAAAAAAAGATGAGAAAAATAAGAGGCAAAAAAAAGTATGAAGCTGTTCGTGGGCTAAATTCTATGACTATGAACTTAGGTGTTTATTTCTTAAAAACTGTATGCTCATTAAGTTACTACTTCATCTCTCTTTCCTCCATCTAGCAAGCATATCAATAAATGCATTAATTCAACAAATAGAATGAGAAAATACGCAGAAAATATTAAGCTAATATTCTCAAGAAATCCCTATAGAGTAAGCTGAAGCAGAAGAGGTAAGTAGGAAGAGATGAAGAACTAGCTTAGATATAGAATGTTGAGAGAACACCTGGGCAAAGAGCAGCTGGACAAAAAGAATATTCAGATATGGGATAACTTTCTTCAATCTACTGATAAACTAGACTGCAGAAGCAATGAGGAAGACTACTAAAACAACACGAGGCATGCCCACCATCAACTGCCACACAAAGGCAAGTGTATCTGTGTAGCAAATGTTACTAGCATTTTCATCACAGACCAAAGGAAGTAGCAAGATAGTTAGGGACCAGGCTCAAAACTGGGTTCCTATTCTCTTAAAACTCTGGCTATTCTAATCTAATGCTTCATTTAATCAACTCTAATCTCCTCACACAACTGGAGAAATCTTTCATTCTCATCTATTTTAAAAAAACATATGAAACAATCAAAATGGCTTGATTTAAAGATGTTAAGTATGGTCCTAGTAGATGAGTAGGGCTTTCTCATTTGGTTATTAAAATTGAAATCAATGTTGCACTTATCAAACACAGAAAAAGGAGTCAGGCTTGGCAGAGATTTAACAATAAAAACACTTATTTCTGGTACCATTAAAATTTCATCATAATATGCATCATAGAACATCTTATAAAATTTGCTTTAATAGGATTGTTTTAGTGAACACACTCCTAGTTAAAAATCAGGAGATAAAACAGTTCTAAAGTATGAAGGAAGAAGTTATTTCAGTCCAGGAGGAAAAGGAATATACTCTCTAAATTCATTTTTTCCCCTTCCCTTTCCTTTTCATAGTTATTAGGTCTTTTATGTATCATTTTCTATTGGGAAATAGAAAATATGTATTATTTTCTATACTGTAAGATACAGAAGGGTGAAAAGGGCAGCTTAAAGGAGGACAACCCTAAGCATCTCTGTGTTAACATGATCTTGTGAAAATAACCTTGATCTATTTATATTAGTCAGTCACTGGGTGGTACAAGCAGTTTACAGTGGGCTGCTAAGCTAAGAGTTGGCATCTCAAACTCACCCAGCAGTGCCACAGAAGAAAGGCCTGGCTATCTGCTTCTATAAAGATTACAGCCAAAAAAACCCTATGGAATAGTTTTATTCTGTAACACATGGGGTTGCCATGAGTTGGTACTGACAGTTACTGGTTTGATTTGGTTTTGAATTTATTAGTTGTGTTTTTGTTTCAATTTTCTTTAGGATTACCTCTATAGCCTCACAAATCCCTCCAGCTGCCTCATTTTGCTCATGGTGGAGTTCAACATTTTGACATTGTTACCCTGACATCTCAACCTGGTTCAGCTCCTCTCCCATCTGTACCAGTATAACACAATTTTCTTATATAGAGTGGCTCTTATTATAGGAACATGGGCCAGAGGTCTTTCATAGACAAAGTGCTACATTGTGGAGATTTTAACCAGATTTTACAGCACTGTTGGTACAGGCCAATCTTAGGGAAATGTAGACACCTTGGTACATAGAACACTTCCTTGTATGTGTTGTAAAGGAATTTGGTGTTACTGACATCTCATTTGTTAGGTGTCAAGACTAACCAAGAAAATATATTCTTTTAAGTGGCATTTCCTTCTCTAAAATTTACTTCTTAAAAGCAAATGACCTTCTGGAAGCTGAAGGTTTAATTTAAATATGTAAAATATAATAACACTTTAACACTTTTGAAAAACAGTCCTTTTAACTCTACAAACTCAACAAACCTCAACCTCGATGCTTTTCTCATCCTTATCCACTTGCTGGAGATCTTCAATTTTTTTATGACAGTCTTTGAGCTCGTTCTGCAACTGGGAAACCAGATGGCGCTTCACCGAGTTGCTACCCAGCAAACGCTGTACTTCTGCTTTCAGCTTCAGAATGACCTCTTCTTTGGAAAGCTCTTCATTTGGTTCCTCTTGCTGCATAACACTAATAGAGAAATTGTAATTTTTAAGATCAAAGTTAATAGCCAAGCATACATGGTTATTCCTTAAAAGCTATTAGGCAGAGTGATAACCATGATTTATGATCTGGTACGATTATACCAGTATTTCAAAACAATTTTAAGCTTTGCCATACATAAGGCTATCCTTGCCATATCCCTTATGTACAGAAATAACTTTATTCATAGGACGACCATTTCCAAACTTAGACCTGTTGCCTCACTATAAGGAGTTCAGCCCCATGATCTTTGACATGGTTTGCATTTTTGTTTTTGGTAAGTTGTATGCTGTACATGCATGACCGTTATGACTCCAAGAAAAAAATGGAAATTTAAAAGGAGAAAAAGAGAGAGTAAATACTAGCCATCCTAACCAGCAATTCTCATATCTCTTTCAGTTTACTAAAACACAAGACTGGGTGACTAAGCCACTGGGGAAAAAAAATAATAGTAACAGAAATAAAACCACATTTAATTTCAACCCAATGGTAATTTCAATAAATTTCAAAAATGAGAAGAGAATTTCTGCTTATTGCCACAACCAAATAACAAGGACCAGATTTCTCCTCCTGCCTTAAATAACTAGCAACCAAACAAAATATATGAAACAATGGTTTTCAATCATTCAAATAGGCAGCTTAGTACAGGGATCCTAAGAGAAGGGAAACAGACAAGGTAAGACCTGTGACTGCCCCAGATGTGGCACAGGGTGGGGAAATGCCAGCACAGCCTTGCAGTCTCCTGGAGTTGCAGACAAAGAGTTCAGATTTGGGGAGGCCAAAGTGGTCAGAATTTGAGGGAGAAAACACGGGGCCAGAGAGCGATGCACAAGGAGAGAGCTCTACAGATCTGCATATGCTTATAAGGAAGTTACCTTCAGGCCAGGAAAAGAAAGCAGGAAAGGAATGGAGGTGCTGAGAAGATAGATCTGGTCCTTGTTACTTTATCATGGCAAGAAGCAGGAATTCTCATCCCAATTATGAAATTTAGATCAGGGTTAGGGCAAAATTTATCTGGGGCTAATTTGGCCCCACAATAAGGCAATACTTAATGCCCTACTTAAACTTAGTGTCTTAAACAACTAGAAACCAATAAAATACATGAACCCTATTTTCAATTATTAGACAACAGATAATATAGAACATTTAGATCAATGGAACAGAATGGGGAATACAGAAATAGATCCATAGATGGTCAACAAATTATCAACAAAAATTCTAAGGTAATTCATGAGCAAAGAAGTTTTTCTGAAAAATGGTGTTAGATCAACTGGACATCATTATGGAAAAAAAACAACAGTTATTACTTTATACCAAATTCACTGGATCATAGACATACACATAAAACCATAATTTTCTAGGAAATATTTGTGACTCTGGTTTAGTCAAAAAGGAATGCTAAGTAAGACATAAAAATCAGAAACTATAAAACAGAAAATCAATAAATTGGAATTCATAAAAGCCTAAAAAATTTTGCTATTCAAAAGATGATTAAGAAAATGAAAAGGCAGGCCAGAGACTGGGATAAAATATATAGCACAGATATGGGACAAAGGGCTTGTATCCTGGAATATGAAAGAACTATCAGTATTCAATAATAAGAACTATCACTATTCAGTAATAGTGAACTCACTAATCAAATATTTTCTTAAAAAAATAGACAAAGCCTTCAAATATGATGGTCAAATTAGATTTTCAGATAAGCAGAAATTAAGGGTATTTTTGGGAGCTCTGGTGGTGCAGTGCCTAAGGCATTTGACTGCTAATTAGAAGGAAGGTTGGGCAATCTACTTCTATAGTGATACAGCCTCAGAAACCCAAGGAAGGGTCACTATGAGTCAGATCCAACTCGGTGACAGTGAGTTAGCTGAATTTGTTAAAGCCAGACCAACCTTACAAGAGATGTTAAAGGGAGTCCTTGGAACAGAGAACCAATAATAGCAAATAACAATTGACCAGTAATACACAAGATGATATCATCCAGAAACCAACACAGCTACTGAAGTATCCAAAGTAATATAAGCTTACAAGATTGTAAACAGGGAACAAGAGACATCAATTGGCAAATGAGGACAACCACAAACCAAAAAGAGAGGGAAATAATAGTGAAGATACAGAACTTCTAAATGGTGAGGAAGTCTAGATAGAGTTGCAAGATAGAATGGACTGTTCTAAACTCAGGGAGAAAGTTATAAATCACAGGACAATTACAAAGAAAAATGATAAAACTTCACATCACAATAAAAAAAAAGGACAAACAAAAATATTCTACTTTTGCAGTGATACTGCTCGGAAACCCAAGGAGGGGTCACTGAGTCAGGTCCAACTTGATGGCATATAACAACAACAAAACAATAGCAACAAAGGAAATGATAACACAATTCATAAACATAATGAGCTCAGCACAAAAAATTATATGGAGCAAAGAAACCAGGAACATCATGAAAAAACACATAACAAAAGGACAGCAACCAGTTCATACTTGTCAGTAATTACACTGAATGTCGATGGATTAAATGTACCACTCAAGAGACAGGTTGTTGCAGACTGGATAAGAAAACACAACCCATCAATATGCTGTGTACAAGAGAAACACCTTAGAGACAAAGACAAAAACAGACTAAAAATCAAAAGTAGAGAAAAGATTTATCAAGCAAATGGCAACCAAAAAAGAGCAGGAGTGGCCATATTAATTTCTGATCAAATTGACTTTAAGACAAAAACCACCATAAGAAACAAGGAAGGTCAGATCAACTGGACAAGAAGATATAACCATAATAAATATCTATGGACCCAATGAAAGAACCCCAAAATAATAAATCAGAATTTAACAGAATTGAAAAGGCAAATAGATGACTCCACAGTCATAGTAGAAGACTTTAATACACCACTTTCAATGAAAGATAGAACTGGAAAGAAACTGAACAAAAACACAAAAGAGCTAAACAATATAATCCATCAACTTGACCTTATAGACATTTACAGACACTTCATCCAACAACAGTACAATATAGTCTTTTTTTTTTTTTTTTTAATTGTGATTTTGGTGAAAGTTTACAGAGCAAATTCACTTTCCATTTGGCAATTCACATACACTTCATCTCATGACATTGGCTACAATTTACCATAATGTAACAGGTCCCTTCCTACTCTTCCCCATAGTTACCTCTTCCCTGTGCCCTTCCCTCCATGCACTCATGCCCCCTGAGCTATGTCCCTGTGCATACACAGCCCTGCTAGTGTCCCATGATTGTTCTCTCCAAGGAGTGTATCTACCTACTGTAAATGTTCACTTCATATGCCTGTCTTTTGTTTGGCTGGAAGCCACAGATATTGGTTCAGTTCCAGACCTGAAGGGCAGCTAGGGGCCATAGTCTCAGTGGTTCCATCAGGCTCTACCAGACCAGCAAACCTGGTCCCTTTTTTTTCTCCCAAATGATTTTGTTTTGATCCACATTGTTCTCCCACTCTATCCAGGATCTCCTGCATAGATCCCCCTCCAAGTGGTTGACAGTGGTAGCTGGGCACCATCGAGTTCTTCTGGTCTCATAGTTGTATAGGCTGCGGATCGCATGGTGTACCAGTTGTGTGGACTAATGGTTATCATAAATCTTTGGTTTTCTTCCTTCTTCTTTGCTCTGGATGAGGAGAGACCCATCATTGCATCTAGATAGCTCCTTGCAAGCTTTTAAGATCCCAGTCACTACTCACCAAAGTAGGAGATAGAACAATGTTTTGTGTAATATGTTATGCCAATTGAGCTTGATGTCCCCTGTGACTATGGTCCCAAGCCCACCGGTTCAACTACTCAGTCCCTTTGGGTAGCTGGCTGTGCCCAAGAGTGGCTACAACCTTGTCCCTTATCAGCTCTGCTGTACACCTGGAAATTTTTACAACATTCTTTTTCAGTGCACGTGGAACATTCTCCAGGATAGACCATATGTTAGGCCACAAAGCAAGGCTCAATAAATTTAAAACATTGAAATACTGCAAAGCATCTTCTCAGATCACAATGCTATCAAATTAGAAATCAAACAACAGGAAGTTCAACGGAATAAAAGCAAACACATGGAAACTGAACAACACCCTCCTTAAAACTGGGCAATAAAAGAAATTAAAAATGAAATTAAAAAATTCCTTGAATCAAATCAGAATGAAAACAAAACACACCAAAATCTTTGGAACACAGTAAAAGCAGTGATTAGAGGCCAACTTATAGCAATAAATGCACACATCAGAAAAGAAGAGCCAAAATCAACACTTTAAACCAACATCTCCAACAATTAGAGAAAGAACAGCAAGAAAAGCCTACAGTCACAAGAAAAAAAGGAAATAATAAACATTCAAGCAGAAATCAATGAAACAGAAAATAGAAGAGACAATAGAAAAAATCAACAAGGGGAGAAGTTGGTTTTTTGAAAAGATTAATAAAACTGACAAACCACTGGCAAATTTAACAAAGGAAAAGGGTGAGAGAATACAAATGACACAAACAAGAAACAAAATGGGCGACATCACAACACAACCAACTGAAATAAAAAGGATAATATCAGGATGCTATGAAGAACTATACTCCAACAAATTTGAAAATCTGGAAGAAATGGACAGATTTCTAGAAACACACCACTTACCTAAACTAACACAG